ATTTGTTGAAATCCAATAAGATGCGCAAAAGAGTATTTCTCTAATTTAAATTACAAATGAAAACAAACAACTAAAGGCCATATATTCGCTTAACATGATTAAATCTTTAAACCATGATAAAATACAACAGGCCAATTTGTTCTATGATTGTTTGAAATCCCTTTCAATGTAGAAGTTGCGCACTAAGAAGAATATTAATTCCTACGATTTTAAACTAAAATATTTATGCAAAAGCAATTTTTGTGATAGGAAAACAACCTTGCAAAACTGAAACAAATTCATGCAAAAATCATTATTATAAAAATAAAACCCATTTAAGTACTACAAACACACGGCAAAAACGTTTTTTATATCGGATATTATTGTAGTACGTTACAAGCGGCAAAAATGAAACTTTAAAAAGATGTACAAACAATCTTTGTGATACCATATTTTGCAATAAAAACATTACAGTAAATTCACGAAATAGCATAACTCTTTTATTCATATTTGAAAAAGCAATACTAAAGACAATAAATTCCCCAAAATTTATCAAATCTAATAAAAACCTGCAATGTGATTATTTGTATATGACATTTTAAAACAAGAGCCGGTTGAACCGGCTGATGCTCCTCGAATAGGTTTTGGACACAGGAAGGTAAACCTCTTGTAGTGTCAGAGTTATATCACAGACAAAGTTCAAAGTGTTAAAACAAGGTAGCAACCAAAATGTTGTGTATGACACGTCGTCTTAATATGGTGATCATTTCTGTGAAATAGTTTTAAAATCAGACTTCAAAAAACAAAGTTATAGGCCGGACACGATTTTGCTGCAAGGTCATGCTGTGACCTTGACATTCGAGGAAGCGACATTCGAGGTTGCGCATGACACGTCGTCTCAATATGGTGATAATTTCTGTGAAATAATTTTAAAAACCAGACTTCAAACAAGAGCCCGGTTTGAGCCGGGTGATGCTCCCCGAATAGGTTTCGGAAAGTACACCTCTTGAAGTTTCAGAGTTATGTCCCTGGAAAAAGTTCAAAGTGCAATAATTCCAAAATAAGGCAAGGCAGAGTTACTGTTCTTTGCACTGCACTTCTAATCAATGTGATCTATCAACCTACAAAGTTTCTTGTTGATATCTCTTATGGTTTCCTAGTTATGTCCCGGACAACTTCAAAAAGTAAAAAAAAACAAAGGGCAATAACTCCAGAATAAGGCAAGGCAGAGTTATGATTCTTGTGCACTGCACATCTACCAATGAGATATATCTACCTACAAAGTTTCATGTTGATATCTCTTATAGTTTTACAGCTATGTCCTGGACAAGTTTTTTCTAAAAGGGGAAATAATTCAAAAATGAGGCTTAACAGAATTATGGTTCTTTTGCACTGCACTTCTACTCAATGATATCTATCTACCTACAATGTTTCATCTTGATATCTCTTATAGTTTTAGAGGTATGTCCCGGACAAAGTTCAAAGTGTTAAAATTAACAAAGGGCAATACCGTAACTCCAAAATAAGGACAAAAAGAGTTATTGTTCTTATGCACTGCACATCTTCCCATTGAGATCTATTCACATACAAAGTTTCAAGTTGATATCTCTTATATTTTTTAGAGTTATGTCCCGGACAAGATTTTTCTATAAGGGGAGATAATTCAAAAACCGGGCAAAATAGAGTTATGGTTCTTTGACACTGCACTCCCCCTCAATGCCCTCTACCACTGTATGAAGTTTGAACAAATTATCTCCAAGGGTTTTCAAGTTATGCTCCGGACAAGACAACGGACGGACGGACTGACTGAAGGACGGACGGACCACCCGGCGACTATATGCTCCCCGAAATTTTTAGGGAAGCATAAAAATGTTGAAATCCAATAAAATGTAATTAAATTACATATGAAAACAAACAACTAAAAGCAATATATCCTCTTAACATGATTAAATCTTTAAACCATGACAACCTATACAACAGGGTTATTAGTACTATGACTGTTTGAAATCACTTTAAAAAGAATAGAAGTTGCCCACTTAGAGGAATATTTATACGATTTAAACTTAAATATTTATGCATAAGCAATTTTTGTAATATTAAAACAACCTTGCAAAAAAAAAGAACCAAATTAATGCACAAATCATTATTATAAAAATAAAACCCATTTAAGTACTAAAAACAACACAGCAAAAACGTTTTTTGTATCGGATATTATTGTAGTACGTTACAAGCGGCAAAAATGAAACATTGTAAAGAAACTTAAAAAAGATGCACTAACAATCTTTGAAATATCATATTTTGCAATAACAACATTACAGTAAATTCACGAAATGGCATAACTCTTTCATTCATATCTGAAAAAAGCAATACTAAACACCATAGCATAAGTAACTTTTGAAATAGTAAAACAACCTTGCATAACTGAAACAAATTCATGCAAACAACAGCTGTCACTAAAGTAACGAATGCCCCCGAAATGGTTTCTTAAGCATGCAGGTATTATGAAAAATAAGAGAATGTAACTAATTGCTTAATATTGATCTTTGTATTATTGTACCTGTAATCTCTAATTGTGATAGCGTGAACCTTCAAATTATAATTGTGACCTCGATATTTGAAGAAGGGACGTGGTTCCTGGACGCGACAGAATAAGATCGACACTTGTGCCAAGTTATTTCAAAGTCCCTCAATGCATAACAAAGTTACAGTCTGGACATGATTGTTGTGTAAAAGGGGACACGGAAGGACAGACGGACATGATCCTTAGCCGCGAGATATTGTCTTGATGTGGTAGACATTTGTGCCAAGTTATTTTAAAATCCTTCCATGCATGATTAAGTTATTGTCCGGACATGAATGTGTATCAAACTCTTCTCTAGAGAAAGAGTACATTCAAACTATAAGTGTGTCCTTGACTTTGAAGGTAGGGACATGGATTTTAGTTGCGACATGTAACTAGACATTTATGCCTAGTTATATTCAAATCCTTCGATGCATGACAAAGTTACAGTCCGGACACGATTGTGTGTACCTATAACCTCTAATTGTGATAAAGTGAAATTCAAAATGATAGCCTGACCTGGACCTTTGAGGTAGGGACACGATTATTGGATGTATTATTGGATGCGACACATTGTCTTGATGTGGTAGACACTCATGTCAAGTTATTCTAAAATCCTTTCATGCATGACAAAGTTACAGTCCGGACACAAATGTGTGTACCTATAAACTCTTATTGTGCTAAAGTGAAACTTCAAAATGTAAGGGTGATCTTGGCCTTTGAGTAAGGGACGTGATTATTGGACGCAACACATTGTCTCTATGTGGTAGACATTTATGCCAATTTATTCTAAAATCCTTCGATGCATGACAAAGTTACAGCCCGGACACGATTGTGTGTACCTATCAATTCTAATTGTGATTATGTGAAACTTCAAAATGAAAGTGTGAACTTGACCTTTGAGGTAGGGATGTAATTCTTGGACGCGACACATTATCTTGATTTGGTAGACATTTATGCCTAGTTATTTTAAAACCATTCGATGTACGACAAAGTTACAGTCCGGACACAAATGTGTGTACCTATTTACTCTAATTGCGATAATGTGAAACTTCAAAATGAAAGTGTGACCATGACCTTTGAGGTAGGGATGTGGTTCTTAGACGCAACACATCATCTTGATGTGGTAGACATTTGTGCCAAGTTATTTCAAAATCCCTCAATGTATCACAAAGTTACAGTCCGGACACGAATGAAGTGGAGACGCTCAGACGGACAGACAGACGGACGGAGGGACAGACAGACGGGGGTTGCGATTTTAATATGCCGTTCATCGGGAGCATAAAGATAAAACCCATTTAAGTACTAAAAACAACACAGCAAAAACGTTTTTTGTATCGGATATTATTGTAGTACGTTACAAGCGGCAAAAAAGAAACATTGTAAAGAAACTTAAAAAAGATGCACAAACAATCTTTGAAATATCATATTTTGCAATAACAGCATTACAGTAAATTCACGAAATAGCATAACTCTTTTATTCATATCTGAAAAAAGTTCAAATCTAATAAAAACCTGCAATGTGATTATTTGTATATGACTTTGTAAGACAATTTGTTGAAATCCAATATGATGCACAAACGAGTGCTATTTGTTCTATGACTGTTTGAAATCCCTTAAAATATAGAAGATGCACACTAAGAAGAGTATTTCTACGATTTAAAACTAAAATATTTATGCATAAGCAATTTTTATGATAGTAAAACAACCTTGCAAAACTGAATTAAATTCATGCAAAAATCATTATTATAAAAATAAAACTCATTTTAGTACTACAAACACACGGCAGAAACGTTTTGTTATATCGGTTATTATTTTAGTACGTAAATGAAACTTAAAAAAGATGCACAAACAACCTTTGTAATATCATATTTTGCAATAAAAACATTACAGGAAATTAACGAAATAGCATAACTCTTTCATTCATATTTGAAAAACGCAATACTAAAGACAATATAAATTCCAAAAATTGATCAAATCTAATAAAAACCTGCAATGTGATTATTTGTGTATGACTTTTTAAAAAAAATGTTGAAATCCAATAAGATGCACAAAAGAGCTTTTTTTATATTACATTACATATGAAAACAAACAACTAAAGGCCATATATTCGCTTTGCAAGATTACATTTTGAAACCATGACAACATTCAACAGGGCCATTTGTTCTATGACTATTTAAAACCTCTTAAAAATGTAGAAGTTGCACACAATGAAGAATATTTCTACGATTTAAAACTAAAATAACTATGCATAAGCAAATATTTATAATGCCAGTAGTAAAGTTCCCTTGCCATTAATGAAACAAATTGATGCACACATCGTTATTACAAAAATCAAACCCATTTTAATACTACAAACAACACGGCAACAACTATTTTTATATTCTATATAATTGTAGTACGTTACAAGCGGCAAAAAAAACGGCAAAAAAAAGAGAAAAATTGAAAGCAACTTAAAAGAAAGATGCACGATCAACCATTGTAAAATCATATTTTGTAATATCTGCATTACAGAAAATTTACGCAAAAGCATAGCTCTTTTATTCATATTTGAAAAAGCAATACTTAAGACCATAATTTCCAAACAATTGTTGAAATTTAACAAAAACCTGCAATGTGATTATTTATATTTAACTTTGTGAAACAATTTGTAAAACACCCTTGCAAAAATGAAACAAATTCATGCACAAATCATTATCATAAAAATAAAACCCATTTTAGTACTATTAACAACACGCGCAAAAACGTTTTGATATATTGGATATTATTGTAGTACGTTACAAGCGGCAAAAAATTAAACTTTGCAAAGCAACCTCAAAAAAAAAGATGCACAAACAACCTTTGTATATCATATTTTGCAATAACAACATCGCAGTAAATTAACGAAAATGTCATGATGGCGATCTAAACTGCACGCATGAAAACCATGGCTAGCCAATATTATAATTTCTGCATTAAGAGGTAGTAACTGGGTCACATGACAGATCATCAACTTTCATATTTCATGTTTACAAAATAGACCACTGTGTTATGGTTTAACGGAATGCAGGGTCAATAAATATGCAAAACATTACATGTGACTTCAAATTTTCTTTTTTATAAAGATAACATTGCATATTACAGGACTTATTAAGACTGCAGATAATGAAAAGAACAATGCCATCTTAAAGCAATACTTTGAAATTTCAGATTTACATGTTTAACTTTTCTACAAAGCAATGGATGATTTTATTTTGGTTTGTTTAAAATTTAACAAGATGACAAGAGATTGTTTCTGGTGGTTAAGCATCCAATGATTTGCATAATTTATTTAACCTCAATATTTGGATATTATTCATGTATCAACTTGATAGTGCGGAACTTATAAACATCTTAAAATAATTGAGATTCACCTCTGAATCGAAAATAGGGCACTGTCCTGGACTTACGAGGGGACCTTCGGCACGACCTGACCTCTTGCGCTTTATTTTACCTGCACTATCGAAGCTGCGGGGCGGGCAAAATGCAAAAACCTTTTTGAGTATACTTTTTTCAGTTTTTCATTTTTCTCATTTGTTCTTTCTTGTACAAGGAAGGCTTCAACAGCAAGCTTGGTCTCTGTTAACATCATCCTCACTTCAATTTCCCCATGTTTTACGTCACGGCCTAGATCTACTGAAATCACATCAAGCCCTTTTATTCCATTTTCATCTGCATATTTAGGTTCCCTCCTATCTGACTGTAGAATATACACAAGTATTTTCCTTTGATATGGGAAGATTGTCCTATACCTTCTATATCTTAGCTGTCCGACAACGATTTTCTCTCCTTTCATGAAAAACCTTCTGAACAAATTTTGACATATGTCACTGTCAGATACCATCCTAACTTTATGATCACTTGTGTGAATATCTTCGTGAAAATCATCGCATACATTTACTCCATACGTAAAGCTACAAATCATCTCATTCTGTGTAAACCCGTGTAAAATTGCTGCTTTTATTGTTGCATTTACACCAATTTTGTTCGAAAGTATTACCGCCCCATCAAAGTTTTGTGCCATTGCATTACTGATGTGTTCACTTTCTAAAAGTGTCCCGAAAATGACAACAGTGTTAATCTTCGAAAATCTGTGCTTGGTTAAAATTTTTCTTATGAGGGAAGTATTGTCTGCAATACAACTTGCAACAATTGTTTCGATAATACTCCTGTCAAAACGTAGCTTGTCAGAAATTATATTCACATTTAAATGTTTGAATTGTTTTCGAACTTCTTCTCTGATACTTTTTTTGGTTCTTTCTGCATATAGTTCTTCAAGCCGAAGGGGTAATTTTAAGCTTGTTTTTTCAGAGACATTTGGACTTTTTAAAATTACACTGGAAACTGCATAAGTCATTTCGATAACCCATTCAGGCTCTTCCTGGCAAAATTCTTCGAAGACATTTTGACCAAATATTTGAGGAAATATTTCCATGAATTCTGAGATACATTTCTGAAGTCCCCATTCTCCAAAGTAGTGTTTGTCAATTTCTCTGCATGTGCCATCCTCTAAACGCTCATGGACGCTAACCTCAGTCTGGTCATCTGTAAAAATATGTTTATCAACATTGTTTATAAATTAAAGGACAAGAGTTCCAAAAATGATGTGCACTGCTTATCAGAATGAATTATCGTATACTGGTTTAAGAAAATGAAGTTATTTTCTTCTATAGTTTTTACAGGGGGACAAAAATAATGCCTTGTTGCGGCTACTTTAGGTGGTCGATAACATATGGTGGCTAATGGCTACATTATTTAATGTTTTTTATTGCGAATTTATTAAAAAAATGTTATTTATCTATTTCATGATAGTTTACCGAAATTCTATATACACACACTAATAGAAGAATATCTAGGCCTTCGTAAGCACTAATCACCAAAGCTGAAAGGTAATGAATGACAGCGCTATTGAGCTCCCTAATTCTTCGGTTAGAATAGTTTTTAGTGATCACCTCGATTTTTCCCCTTTTATTTCTTGAAAATCTTAGTACATTTTCTTCAAGTTTGATTTTATTGAAATATTTTGACACATCTAGAGGCATGTACATGTAGCTTTAAATAGTAATAAAAATGACAAACATATCTTATTTCAAATACACTGTGCTCTAGACACTATTTTTTTTTTATCTCAATGGGTGTGTCTTTCCAACTTTAAAACAAATTAAGGAAAATGTACTTACAGCCTAGATCAACAACAAGAAACCGTTTTCCTGAGTTCCAAAAGTCAGCTGGTATGTTGCCATTTAATTCGCCCTCTGGTAAATCATACATATCAATGTAGTTGATGATACAGGTTGTTTTAGATACGGAAGATACGTAATCCCTTTCAATACCAGCCTAAAATTCAACAATACTTGTCTAAACATCAATAATCTTAAGCTGAACCTGAGTACAATTTACAATTTGCTTCTATCAAAGAAAGCAGTGTCGTAAAAAGAATTTGCTTCATTTGTAACGAAAATATATTTCTAATGCGTTTGGCATTTTAATGACACGTTTGTTTCAAAATTGAATGGTAATTGACTTGTTATTTTAAAATTAGGTTAAGAATCCTCAATGCAAATGATGGTAATAACTAGGTTAAAACTAATATGTCTAAATATGATAATTATAATAATACATGTAATAAGTGTTTTCTTTGTAAAAATACTTGTGTTTAAAGCGTTATGTTATGTTCATAAAAGCTGTTAAATTTATTGATAAATAGATAAAATTGTTTAATATACAATCATGTCAGTATTGAAAAATTTGGTCAAGAACTATGGAAGGGATTATCCGCCCCTCTAATTAATATGAATACATTGTAATTAATATGAAGACATTCTTATTATTTTGAAGACATTCTTATTGGTAGGAAAACATTATTATTATCATGAAAACATTGTTATTAATATGAAGACATTATTATTAATACGTTGTAATCATTATGCAATATTAAGATGTTGTACTTGCTGACGTTACTCGAGTTCTTATTGAAATATGCGAACATTTAATTTACACTTCAATTCTAAGGCTGTAAACATGCAAACTATAATTAGATATTAAATTTGCTGGCTTTCAAATATTTTTCCTTTATTTGAATTTGCTTTCTAAAATTAATTTGACACACTTTTTATACTTACAGTGTTTCAGTATTTATTTTACAAAAATCATGGTAATTTTAGTCCCATGCTGACATTGTGTATTATGTATTCGAAACAGTTAATCGTTAAGTATGTAATATTTACATAAAAGTAAGAAATACTTCATACTTAACGACTTACGCAAATAAAAGCATATGTCGTGCCTTGAGGGTACCTATGTGTCAATAATGAGAGGGTACCTGTGATATAAAAATTCAAATGAGGAGAGGTAGCCCGTGTCGCTGCAAAACCGAAAGTAGGGTGATTTTATAAATTTTACATTTATTTTTGACAATATACTGCCATTTGTCCGAAGATGATATGTAAATGAACATATTAAATATGTACGGTGCATATATAATCAAGCCACAGGTTCATTGCAGCTGTCGCCGGGCCACTCATTCGGGGATATAATGACAACATGGGTCGACAGATTTTCAATGGGTTTAATATTGTCATGGAAACATGGAAAGATACGCTCCTGTAATACATGACATAAACAAAACAATATAAATACAATGTCAAAATAGGGGATTAGCAATACATATTCATAATATCAAAGCAATGCACGACAAACATTACATATTATAGTTTCAAATACACATGATTACCTGTAGATATATTTATATATAACTACAAAATGGATATTTAATGTTTCATCCAAGCAATTACCTAGACAAGAATCCTGACCAAGTTTCATGACAGTTGAGCCAAAAAATGTGACCACTAGAGTGTTGATAAGGTTTTTCCATATTTGAGCAGTGTGATGACCCATATTCGAACATGACTTAGATATCATCAAAACAATTCCAGGATATTTGGATCAAAACAGTAGCTACTAGAGTGTTAACAAGATTTTTCTATTTTTAGCTCCCTCCTGTGACCTATTTTTTCATCCGAGAAGACCCATATTCGTACTCATCCAAACAATTACATAGACAAGTATCCTGATAAAGTGTGATGATGATTGAGGCAAAAATGTGATCATTAGAGTGTTAACGAACACATGTGAACGAACGACGGACATTCAACGACCGTAAAAGCTCACCCAGATTTCTATCTTTCGTCTATTCTCATTAACTTAACCCTTTACCTCATATCTATATAGACGTGTTTTGACGGCTTTTCGACACCCCCCCCCCCCCCTTTGAGGCCTCAAACAGTGAAAGTTTACCTTATTTAGAACACTGTTTTTCGTTTGGGAAATGTTGTTAAAAAAGTCATTACTTTTTCGGCGCCGCCCCTATCCAAAAGGTAGATCAGGGGGTTGCTAGAAGGGGGATGTGCCTTCTTCTGTATCGGGGGTTTGAAGGGGGGGGGGTGGTTGCCCCCCTCATCGCAAAGAAAATTTTGAACATGATTGTGTCAGGCTAAAAATGGCCTCAGGTTGATCGTAATGTAACGTGTAACCATCGCTGAAAAGCCTTTATTCCATCTCAATCCATTGAGAAGTTGCAGCACTTTGAAATCAGTTTTGAAAGGAAAAAAACAATGCAAAATAGTGATTTTTGGCAATTTTGAGACATCCCCCCGTGGCCATGGTAACAGGAAATTTACGATTGAGCATGCTGTTACAGAGGCTATGTTCCAGTCAACATTTGTGCCAAGTTTCATCAGTATAAAAGCACTTTTCATAGTTTCATAGCAGTTTGAACTTGTAACAGGAGGCTTTTCAATGAAAAAGGCCATTTTCACAATATGCTCATGAGGTAAAGGGTTAGAAACTACCGCCACCATAGCATTGAAACTTAATATGTAGATGCACCATAATCAGTTATACTTATCATGTCCATTTACAGGTAAAGAGGTCAAAGTTCAAGTTCACTGATATACTGTATATACATGTACTAGTAAAACAAACAAAAAATGGTAATGAAATCAAGATGACCTAGGAACTTTAAACATTGTATTAAGATGCAACTTGATGAGTTCTACTTTCCCATCCATCTTAGATCCAAAGGTCAAGGCCACTGTGACAGTAACACTTAAAAGTTGTTCACCACATCACACTTTTTTAATTGTCTCTTCATTTTGTAGAAAAAGTGCGGTTTACTGACCAGCACTTCTAAAAGTGGAGCGCACTGTTCTACAGACAGCTGTTGTTTAAGTATTTCTTTGCCTTCAGTGATCTACTTCAGAATCACATCTAATCCTTAACTTTGTAGACGTTTATGTGAAGTCTGATGAAACTCTACCATGTGATTTAGGAGATGTCGTTAAAAATTGAAGATTACAAAAGAAGATGGAAGACAGATGGCAGACATAAGACAATCACAAAATATATAAAAGCAAATAAACATGTAAATTATTAATCAGTTTATCATGTCTTAGTAATGGGTGACAGTGTAAATTAAATTTCTGACACTCATTTTTGCGTTACTTTTAATGAAAGCACATTCAAAGATTTGAGTCTTACCTTTTCTGCAGCATCTGTTAACATGGATTTACATGTTCCTGATATATCATCAGCTACAAGATAAACAAGTTGAATATCTTTTGCCAAAAGTGCATCTCGCGATTTATTAACCAGAGACATGATACATGATATCAATGCTCCAAAAACTGCACCCGAACTCAATGAATCGCCATTTGTCGAAAATAGCCTTGTGTCACATGTAAGCTAAAAATAAAACAGTTATTAATTCAAATGTCTATATCTACCTACCTGGGCATTTCATTATGTTGAAACATTCCTTATTACATCATTTATTGCCTAGATATACGCAAATGAGCTTTTCTAGAATACGAATATATTGGTATAATATATACATGTACGTATAAGCATGTTTACAGTGTAACGTTTAATTCAAATTTGCAATAATACAGACCTTTTTACAATACGAGTTTACCATAGTAACGGATGATGCATTTCGCGCATGCAAAAACGCAATATTGTTACGCTATTGAGACACGGACGTCAGTCGATCACAATTGGTAGCTCGAGCCTTGGATTCCGAACTTGGGTAATAATGGACAATATCTGTTATGGGTAGCTATCTTGATCAGCTTCCAGCTGTTGGTTTCCTTTTAAAACCCTAATTCTTGTGATAATTCATGTGATGCAATCGAAAAACTAAGACTTGTGATAAAACTTAAAACTTCAATTTATTCATTTAATAAACACATATATCGTTTCTCTTTCAACAGTCAATCGCAATTATATTTTATACAAGAACAATCTATGTGAACAATACATCACTATTATTCCATTTACAAAACAGTCACTTTCTCTCTCAGACTTGATTACATTCAACAAAGTCACTAATTCAGAAATATAAGGCAGATAAACTTAAATAACCATTCAGTACTGTCAGTAAGCCTTGTAAAACTGCTACTTTTAAACAATAAAATTATAAGCTTAAAATTACTTAAAATATTACTTATCAAAATGTTAATTCTAAGTAAAGACTTGTAGAAAATATTCACCAAAATAAGTTAAAGTACCTTAAAGATTGTTGTTTCTTAGATAAAACCAAATATATGGTATTTAGCAAGTTGTTTGCGTGTGTGTCCTCGAAAATGAGCTCACAGCAGTTTATATACTACTCAGACTTCACACAAAAAAGTGTGGAAGTTCACATTTCACAACTTGTGAAGTTTGCCAACTTCACATAAAATCATGTGAACCCAGCTTCACATAAAATAATGTGGAACTGTGAAGCTCACAGTCACTGGAAACAAATGAGAATTTAAATATTAAAATTACCAATATATCAATAATTATTAGTCTTATTTAATAAAAATATAATTAATACAAAAGATTAAAACCTCAAATTTCCTTTTAAGGGGGTTAACAGTTTTAAATTGTTGATGAAAGTTGCTTGACATCTCTGTATTGACAAGTAAACAATAAAAGGAAGCTGCAGTTGCTAAGCAACTACCCACAATGCAATGCAACAGGATGTATACAAACATGGCTGCTTAAACCAGGAAGTAAATTATATTATCCTGCATTTATAGGTACTACATGCACACAATATACTGATTTAAGTTAAATACCTAGCAATTATAAAGCCATGGATATAAACTTGTTATCCACCAAGATATAGACACATTAGACAAGAAATAAAAATACAATAAAGCTTTAAAGTTAGACTCTATTAAAGTTACTATGGACCAGGGTATTACAATATTAAACGGAATACTACAATTTATCATAATTAAAGGCTTTAATAGACTTGATTTCAAGTTATGTCACCCAGAAAACAGTAATTTTGGGATGACTTAAAGCGGTAAGTACTTAAAACGTGAATTGTTATTTATAACAGATATATGATAAAAACGCATACATAAATCCTCAGTTTGGACGACTTTTTCAGCAGTACTTTAAATTGAAACATGATGTTGTCAAAAATTAAATTTTATTACCCCTATATTACATTATATTACACAATCATTGCAAGGCGGTAAGTGTCGAACAAATTGACACTTGACTGCTTGTTTTTTTTTACATCTAGTTTACAATATCATTCAACCGGGACGTTTTGGTACAATGACATAGATAATCAAGGAAAATTTTGATAATCGTAATTGAAGTAACTTTTACATTTACCAATCTCACCAATGTTTATTGATTTTGTGAAGTGACAAATAGTAAACTAGCTGAAAAAATAGCCGGTCACGTATAAATCTGTTTGGTTTAAATATATTTTATCTATAAGCAGAAGCTTATAGAAGCCATTATCTAACAATAACACTCTTCAATGTCAGTGGTGGTTGTAATTAACATGTTACCAGAAAGTGAATATATTTAATTATGCAAGACCCAAAAGAAATAATTTTAATGCAGTAGTGTCTAGTGAATTTGGGGTCTAGGTCATATTTCATCATGTCTATTCATTAGACACATGTGCAGATGTGTCTTATGTTAAGATACAAAGGTCATAGTGCAATAATTGATCCAAAAATAAAATATTTTTTTATTGAAAAAATAGGTATTAACTGTATATCATAGCTGTATTAAACTTTAAAATGCAGTTTTGGTAACTTTTTCTTAAATACCATCTTTCAATTAAGCATTGCCAATTTCTTAAAACATAATCATTATTAAATACATAGTATGATTCATAAAGTCCTTATAATCTGCTCAAATTGTTTCATTTAACATCTCTACAAACCTCACAACTGTCTTGCTAGAGTTCATGGCCTGAATCATTTCATAAATATCTCTGAAAATCATGACCTAGCTATTGAATATTTTACATAAAAATTGCAGAACATGTATTAGACATTCCCCTGTAAGTTGTTTCCTTTCACACAAAAATATTTTTTTAAATTTTACTATATGTACATAACGAAAATCTGAAAATACAATAATGGTAGAGGTCCACTACACAATGTTTCGTGACAAATATCTAACCTCTAGCCTTTGTCAATTCCGAGAAGAACTCTTTATAAAGTTTTTATTATATACATACATGTATAAGGAAAACCTATGACCCCCGAGCCGGTCGAATTGTGTCACCAGGGGAAAAAATTAAATAACTTTAATACAGGACCTATAGATGATATTATATACCAAATATCAAAGCTCTAAGCCTTGTACCTTCAGTCAAAAAGATTTTTTAAGTTTTTACTACATGTACATAGTGAAAAACAAATACCCCCTATGGCGGAGCCAATCTTGACCCTAGGGCTATAATTCGAACAATCTTGGTAGAGGTCCGCTACACAATGTTTCATGCCAAATATTTAACTTCTAGCCTTTGTCAATTCAGAGAAGATATTTTAAGATTTTACTATATACATACATGTATATGGAAAATCTATGGCCTCCCCCCCCCCCCCCGGGGGCGGGGCCAATTTTGACACTAAATGAAAAATTTGAACAACTTCGGTAGACGACCTATATATGATATATACCAAACATCAAAGCTCTAAGCCTTGTACCTTCAAACAAGTAGACATCTTAAGTTTTTACTATATGCACATAGTGAAAATCAATGACCCCGGGCGGGACCAATTTTGACCCCAGGGCTTAAATTTGAACAATCTTGGTAAAGGTCTACAAGACAATGCCTTATGCAAAATATCTAAGCTCTAGGCCGTGTGGGTCTTTACAATAAGATTTTTTTAAATTCATTCTTATTATTCCTTTTGGTTGCCATGGTAACCTGAGTTTTCCATTGAATCAAATTATTTGAACAACTTTGGAAGCCCTTCACCTAGGAACAATCCTGATAAGTTTGGATAAAATTGGACGCGTGTTTTTTCACAAGAATATTTTTTAAGTTCACTATATAATCTATATAACACACACACACACACACGCACACACGCACGCACACACGCACGCACGCAAGCACCCATGCACGCATCTAAACACACAAACACACACACACGCACGCGCACACACGCAGGTGAATCGCTTTATGCCATCGCACATCGCAGATGCGGTGGCATAATAAAGATAACGACAAAAATAAAGATGAATATAAGCAGCATAGCAGTAGCAGTCAGACATTATATAAGTTCTTTCGTAGAATCACGTGAAAAGCTCGATGTTTTGGTTATCTGAAAGGGAATTTGAACCATACAATAGCAGAGTGTGAGTTATGATCAGGGATCTATCCAGCTGTATGATGTTCCTATAGAGGATATCTCGCACATGCTGATACAAAGGACAGTTTAAAAGAAAATGACACACTGTTTCTGTTTAACCACAAGCGCAGGTGTTTGATTCGGAAATATTATTTTTCGAAAAAGATCATCACGAGTAAAAAGAATTATAGTATAGTATTATATGATATGATATAATATGATATGATATGATATGATATCATGCAATGCAATGCAATACAAAACAATACAATACAATATAATAAAATAATTAGGGGGAAAAGACGATTGCGTTTCCGAATTAGTCGTTTAATTTCACCTGATATCCATTGTGATGCTATGGGTCTGATGGTGATTAACCTATTAGGAATATACTTAATAGAAAATATAAATATGGTAGATGTAAATGCAGAGACCCATTGGTCAATATCATTGTTACGAATAATCTGCCAATCAAATTGTTTTAAAGAGTATCTCAATGCATTATAGTCTCGGTCGTACAGCCATATTTGACAAGAGTGAGTCTGACATTTTTGTTTAGTAAATTTAAAAAGTGCAAAAGTGGGACAATGATAACGTATTTGTTGATCAAAAACTGGTTCATCAACGTCACTAAGTACCAAACTACGTATGTTTTTTTTAAAGAATAAGATCTATGATAGGAGAAGACGTTTCAGTGAAATGAGGTGGATCATTGATATACTGAGCAATCTCAAATTGGTTACAAAGGTATGAGTTTCGCTTGGACGCGGTAATGGCAAGATTAAGGTTAAAGTCGCCAACACTTGAAATGTGAAAGGTAAAAATATTGTTCAATTTTAAGGTCATATTGGGCATCAGAGTTTGGAGGGCGATAGAAAAGTCCAATAAGCATCTTGAGGTTCCGCTTTAGAATACGTTCAATCCAAATACATTCAATATCTATGAATTCTAAGTCATGCCTTTGAACATAAGCTATATTTTCTTTGACGTATACTATAACACTACCATATCTGTCATGCCCTCTGTCTCTGCGCTCGGGAATATGAAAGTTATTTCATAGTATTACACTTGTGC